GGCCCTCGGGAGTTTTTCCCGGAGGGACCCTTCGACTCATTCAGATCACTGCGGGGGCAGACAAAGACCATCTTCACAAAAGATACTCTGTTATATAGTCTGTAAGGTACTAAATTGGGTTGGTTTGGTAAGCGTACGCAAGGTTAGGAAGCCTTCTGCAGACTGATATGAAATCTGGTAGGTAAAGGCATATACCCGGCTGCTAGCGTCCATTTGGTATACACCCACGAGAAGCAGGGGGCATCTTGTGATTTGGGTCCTACAAGATACAGGGGGTGTCTTGTGGAAATGGTTTGGGATCTTACTGATATTCGATTTATGTTGTGGCTTGTTATAGTGATGATTTTGGTCTTGTGATTTTGGTATTGGTGACAGGATGTTATAACTCTTACTGTTGTTTGTTTGTTTGATACGATTTTAGTCTCTGTCTCAAGTGTTGTTAACTGTGTGGAGCATGTCTGTGGGATCCCATGTGCGTGTGTGAATGTGAGACTGATAATGGGAAACCAGCAGAGTGGAGAGATACTGAAAAAGAGTCCTTTAGGGGGCATTCTGGCACATTGAAAAGAACCGGGGTGTGTGTGTGTGTGTCTCCTGGGGGCTCAGTAAATAAGAAAATGTTGGTAAAATATTGTAACCAGTGGTGGCCTTTGTATACTCTGGAGGACTAGGAGAAATGGCCTAAAAATGGAACTCTGAACTATAATACACTGTTACAATTAATGTTGTTTTTGAGGCAGCAGGGAAAATGGGATGAAGTGATGTATGCAGTTTTTCATGTTGCAAAACCACCTGGAATGGCAGAAGGAATGTGGAATTAATATAGCACCTTCAGATCCTTTAATTTTAGCTTTAAAAAAAGAAAGGAAGCAGGCTGGGAATAGATTGGAAAGATGTTGTTCTGGTTGTGATATTGGGGAAACGTGTTTGAAACTTAAGAGCTGAGGATAACATGGTTGAGGATAGAATGGAGGATTATGTTTCCTCAAAGGTACTGGATCAGAGATCACCTCCGATTCAGGAGGAATCCTCTGTTTCAGATGAAGAGCAAGAACAGAACAAAGTGTAGAGAAAATTCCCTCCACTCCTGTTGCCACCCATGTCCTTAATAAAACTAAGACTGTCCTGTAAGCCCCTCTTAGGGAAGCAATGGGATCAAAGGGATGTAGCAGGATAAAAGTGAATTTTTCTTTAGGAGATTTGGGTAATTGGAAGCAGATGGCAAAAAAAGATCAAAATGACCCCATAGGGGTAGCTAAGAAATTTGAGATACTGGTAAAAAGTCAGGATCCTGATTGGAAGGATATAGATGTAATATTGGATGCATTAAGAGAGACAGAAAAACAATTGGTTATAAAAACTGCTTGTACTCAGGTAAATGCTTAGATTACTGCAGGGGCAATGGCTGGGAGGGTTGAAGATCATATTCCCTTTACAGCTCCAGATTGGGGTTATAATGATGCTGGAGATTATGCATCTCTAAAGAGATATCAACATTGGATTAAATAGGGGCTTGAAAACGCTATACCTAAAGCAGTAAACTGGTCAGTGCTGTTTGAAATAAGACAGGGGCCAAAGGGGTTGCCAACAGAGTTTCTGGACAAGCTCAGAGAAACTATGTGAAAATGCACCACAATGGGTCTTTCCTCAGAGGAAGGAAATCAGGAAGTCCAATTCACCCAAAGTAGAAGAAATTCTCAATCAGGTATACCCAGGAGTTTGGGCATCTGAAATCCCAGGATATGAAATAACAGGAGGACAGAGAGAACTTGCAACCACTAGAAAATAAGCCAGTTGTCAAACTCCATGACCGCTCTCCATCATCTTTACCAAGTCTTGGGAAACGGGAGAGGTGCCTGAGGACTGGAGGAAAGCAAATGTCACTCCCGTCTTCAAAAAGGGCAAGAAGGAGGACCCGGGTAACTATAGACCGGTCAGCCTCACCTCCATTCCTGGGAAAGTGATGGAACACCTTATCCTTGGTGCCATCTTAAGGCATATCAAGGATAAGAGGGTTATGAGGGGCAGTCAACATGGCTTCACCAAGGGGAAGTCGTGCTTGACCAATCTTGTAGCCTTCTATGAGGAAATAACACGGTGGATGGATGATGGTAGAGCGGTGGATGTGGTCTACCTCGACTTCAGCAAAGCGTTTGACACGGTCTCCCACAGCATCCTTGCGGCTAAATTGAGGAAGTGTGGTCTGGATGATCGGGTAGTGAGGTGAACTGTGAACTGGCTGAAGGAGAGAAGCCAGAGAGTTGTAGTCTATGGGGCGGAGTCTAGTTGGAGGCCTGTATCTAGTGGAGTGCCTCAAGGGTCGGTACTGGGACCAGTATTATTTAATATATTCATCAACGATTTAGATGAGGGAATTGAGTGTACTATCAGCAAGTTTGCTGATGACACTAAGCTGGGAGGGGTGGCCGACACGCCAGAAGGCTGTGCTGCCATCCAGAGAGACCTGGACAGGCTGGAGAGCTGGGCGGGGAATAACTTGATGAAATATAACAAGGGAAAGTGTAGAGTCCTGCATCTGGGCAGGAACAACCCCAGGTTCCAGTATAGGCTGGGGAACGACCTGTTAGAGAGCAGTGTAGGGGAGAGGGACCTGGGGGTCCTGGTGGACGACAGGGTGACCATGAGCCGACACTGTGCCCTTGTGGCCAAGAAGGCCAATGGCATCCTGGGTTGTATTAGAAGGGGGGTGGTTAGTAGGTCGAGAGAGGTCCTCCTTCCCCTCTACTCTGCCCTGGTGAGACCTCATCTGGAATATTGTGTCCAGTTCTGGGCCCCTCAGTTTAAAAAGGACAGGGACCTGCTGGAGAGAGTCCAGCGCAGGGCAACTAAGATGATTAAGGGAGTGGAGCATCTCCCTTATGAGGAAAGACTGAGGGAGCTGGGTCTCTATAGTTTGGAGAAGAGGAGATTGAGGGGTGACCTTATTAGTGTATATAAATATATAAAGGGGGAGTGTCACGAGGATGGAGCCAGGCTCTTCTCAGTGGCAAACAATGAAAGGACAAGGGGTAATGGGTACAAATTGGAGCACAAGAGGTTCCACTTAAACCTGAGAAGAAACTTCTTCTCAGTGAGGGTGACGGAACACTGGAACAGGCTGCCCAGGGAGGTTGTGGAATCTCCTTCTTTGGAGACATTCAAGACCCGCCTGGACACGTTCCTGTGTAACCTTATCTAGGCGTTCCTGCTCCGGCAGGGGGATTGGACTAGATGATCTTTTGAGGTCCCTTCCAATCTCTAACCTACTGTGATACTGTGACCGTCAAGGAGCTCCAGACATTCTTGGGAATGACTGGATGGTGCAGACTTTGAATTCATGATTATGTTCTGCATCCTTTTTGTAGGAACAGTCAACAGAACCACTAACACATGACTGCTTGGCCGCTATAGAGAGTGTATATTTGAGCCGATCAGATTTGAAAGAAAAACCTTTGGAAGATGCTGATTCTGGGTTTACTGATGGTAGTAGTTTCATGAAAAATGGTGAATGAAAGGCAGGGTATGCTGTTACTACCACTTCACAGGAGATTCTCTACAGGAGAAGTGGAGCGGACTGTACCAGATATTATCGACCACCTTTACAGCAGTGAAGATAAAGGAACAACCTGCTTGGATACATTATTCAAGAATGAAGAAAGCACCAGAGCCAGAGAAGATACGACGGATTGAACCTTCAGGACCCTTACGTATAAAATTGTGTCAGTCATAATTTGGATTTATATGATAACTGGCATACAAGCTTGGGACCAAAACTTGTTACTAAAATGTTACTAAATGTTACTAAAGTTTTTAATCATAGTGACTGTTGGGTGTGTGCACAATTGCCTAAATCAGGAGAAAATCTGGACGTTCCATTAATTGGCATTCCAATTACCAACACTATCTCATGGAGAAATTTGTGGGTGAACACTAGTAGTCTACATCTGAGAGAAAGGTTAAGATTTGGGGTAGTTAATCCTAATCCAAGTAAAAAATACTATACCTGTTTACAGGAACCAGAGTAGGAGATTATGTTTGTTTAAATGCCACAGATGTAGGTCACCATTCAAATTCCAATCACACTATTAATATAGATTGTATCGTAGTTCAGTGGTGGCCTGTTCCTGAAGGGAAAGGACGGTATTGGTTATGTGAAGAAAATGCTTATAAGACTACCCCACAACTGGAAGCGGGCATGTACCTTAGGTGCTGTGATACCCAGTCTTACTATTATTGACATGTATCCTTCTGGAGCCTGGGTTAGAAGTTTTGCTAAACAGATTAAGTGAGGGTTTAACCCTATTGCTGAATGGAACACCGCATTTCATAGTTTTGTGAGATGGCTAAATCCATCTTTGGGAGTAAGCGAATTAGAGAAGGCAGTCGTAAATATCTCAGCAACCACAGAGGAAATAGAAAGTAAAACTACTGGTATAATCCAAGCAGAACAAAAAGAGATAACTAGCGTATCTAAAGTGGTATTATAAAACTGAATGGCTCTAGACATGTTATTGGTTTCACAAGGAGAGGTTTGTTCCATAGTCAATGAAAGTTGCTGTTCCTACATAGATCAAAGTGGCAGAATTGAAACAGATCTGGAGGAAACGTGGAAACAAACTAAAGTATTTAATGAAATGGGCAAGAATTATTCTCCTGGGATGATCATCCTCTGTGGATCCCCATGTCTCCTGGGGTTTTGAAGAAATATGGAAAAAGTTAACTTTGTGGTTATCAAATCTGTCCTGGTTGAGGCAACTGGTTGGAGGAATATTAATATTGTCTTAATATTGATTACTTGTGGTATGATACAATGTTCCTTCTGGTATTGTAAACGATCTATGATGAATTATGAAGATTGGAAGAGAAATGAAATCAACATCAAGTAGAAACAGGAAATTATTTAAAAAAGACTCTAGATGATAATGGTAGTAAAGGATTTGCAAAAGGATTTGCAAAAGAACAGAAAAATGGGGGATTTGAGACGAAAAGGCACAAAATATAAACCTTTGTAAATAAGTAGAATCAATTCTAAGTAACGTTAAGTTTTATGGCTTTATAACAATAGCAATGCAAAATAACTGAGGTGCGTGACTCAAAGACACAGCTTCAAGCACTGCACATCCTGACCCACCCCTGTCATAATACCTGCAGCAAGGAAATGGGCTGGTCCTACCATGGTGCTTGGCTCTGAGATGTGACCCAGAGGAGTCACGCATGCAGGGACCACACCAGCAGCACCATCCCTGCTACATCACATATGCGTGCACCATGAGTGTGACACCTCCTGAGCCACCAGCCAGGGTTGTGCCCCTGGGAAGGACACGGAGGCATGGGAGGTACTGTCATTACACTTACACTTGTGCCATTTTACAACTGGTGTATAGGTGGTTGCTTTTATTTCTCCCAAAGGTACAGGATAGTGTCCTCTTCAAATGCGAAGTGCAGGCTCTGCAGTCCAAGCAGTTCCCATGGAGATGTTGCAATCATGGGCCTCCCAGGTTCTGCTTGGTCCCATTCCAGACCACCAAGGAGATGTGAAGCTCTGGTAGGAACCTTCCAGCCTTGTGCACTGAACCACCATTTGCCAGGGCTCACACTGAGCTTCCCAAGATACTGAACTGCTGCTGACTCCACTCCTAATTCCTCCCTGTGCTGCTGTCAGTGCAGAATTGATGTCCGGTTTGGGGGACAGGACACAGCCAAGTCTGTTACCATCCTCTGTGCCTTTAGCAGACAGGGGGACCAGGCTGGACCTCCAGCTCCAAGGGGGCTCTGTGTGAGCTAGGGACAGGGTTTGGACTGTCCCTAGTAGCTCTGGTGGGAAGAGCCAGCTCCTTCCTCCTCTCTGGCTGGGAGCTGGGTCACTGCTGAAAGCTGGGGATGGCACCCTGTGGATCCACAGCCAGGGCCATTAGCCCAGCAGCAGAGTACTAGCAGGGTCTGAGCACCACCATGGGGCTTGGTGCTGTTAGGGTGCTGCTGCTGTCACCACAGGGGGGATGTAGGTGCTGGCTAGGGGAGGTCCTGGGAGCTATGGGCCGGCTGGATGACCATGCTAAGAGAAGGATTGTGGAGCTGTGCAGGGCCGGGCTGAGTTTCCACAAGATCAAGAAGGTGCTGGAGCTGGATGACATCTACGTGATGCCACAGGCAGTGTACCTCTTCCTCAAGCAGAAAAGTGTGGAGCGGGTGCTGGTGTCAGCTGCCTGGGACACAGATGAGCCCCAGCCTCCACTGCAAGGACAAGAGACCAAGCTGCCCAAGCTGGCAGGTCCCTTTTCCCCCGCAGTGCCTGGTGGGGACCCACTGGTCAGCCAGGGCCCCGCAGCTGGCCCTGACACCAAGGAGGGCACCCAGAGTGTCAGCCCAGCCTCACTGTGCCAGGGCGGTGGGCAGAGCAGCGAGGCCTTCCCCATGGGGCTGCCCCCTGGGAATGGTAAGGCCTGGCTTCCAACAGGGGTCACTGCCATGGCACCCTCAGCAATGCTGGATCAGGGAAAGGACTCCCAGCCCTGCACTGGGTTGCCCCGGAGTCTCCTTTCAAGGCGTTTCTCTTTCTGTCCCTTGCAGGCGATGGCAGCTCCACAGGTGCTCTCTTGGCTCCAGGGATCATGGCCAGCACTCACCAGCCCCTGCCCAGCCAAGAGTGGCCAAGTGCACCCCTGGCCAGGAACCCAGCCCTGATGGTGAAGAAGCAGCTTGTGGACAGAACGATCATCCTGCAGAAACAGGTAGGCTGCTGGGCAGTACGGTGGGGTGAGAGAGCCTGTCTGTGCCAGGCAGGAGCTGCGGTGGTGCTGCCCACAGGACACCCTGCACAGCACCTTGCTGTATCCACTTCATGCAGATGGAAGGGGCAGGCTGCTGGGGGCAAAACACTCTTGAAATACCTCCCAACCTCTGCTACCTGCACTCTACAGCAATGCTCAATCCTGGCACTTTGGGAGCTTGCCTGGGAAGCCCCTCTGTTCTCTAGGGCTGTGGGACATGCTGCCCACACAGCTGCTGTTCTTAGGTGATGCCAGCCATGGATAGGTCAGTTTTGCTAGCATTGGCCTCCAACCTGAAGCTCACAAACCCCCTCTTTAAGGCTTGGTTTCAGTACCAGCTCAGGAGCTTCCCCAGCCCACCACAAGGACATTAGCAGCTGCATGACTTGGTGCTGTACCAGGAGATGAAGGGCTGTGGCAGGCCACAACAGACTGACACAGCCAGGACAGCCACCCCTGGGACACATCCAACTGCTGTAATCCCCATTGTGTACCCCCCTGCCTTGCCATGCCACGAGACCCCCAGGCTGTGGCCATGCATACATTGTCCCATAAGTGATTGCCAAGAGCCCTTCCAGCTGCTTGAGAGGACACAGGTTGCTCAACACCCTTTCCAGAAGAAAAGCTCCCCGGGGTCTCAAAACCACATGTGGTCCTCCCTAGTGAGCAGAACAGTTCTTTGCTTCAGGATACAATACAAGACATAGAGGGACTAGAAAGAAAACCCCAGGATGTGTTATTTCTGTCCCTGCACAGAGCAAACGTGTGCCTGACATTGGTCCAGGAACAGCATCCACCAGTGGATGTCTAAACACATGCTGCCAGCATGCAGAGCATGTGGAGCTCTTGCAGAGCAGCAGCAGAGGGGCTGGGTGGGGATGAAGTCTAGAGGTCCCTAACGAAGTGATGGCTTTCTCTCACACTTTGTAGTTAAGCACAGAATAAATCTTCCTTTTGCCAAATGTCATTGAAGGAGCAGCTGGCAATGTTTCACCCTCCCTTCTCTCCTGCTTCCCAGATGACAGCACTCACACGGTCCTGCTGAACCCCACGAGCCCTGCAAATCCAAGCCTTGCTTGGGGCAGTTCAGTACTTCCCGCTGCTCCCAGCTCCCCTGCCATTGCTGAACATAATCCACGTATTTGTGAGCACACACACACACAGAGCTGTACTCACATCCAACCCCCCCCAGGTGTTTCCCAGGTCCCTGCAGCAGCAGTGTGTGTAACCTCCCCAGACACATGGCTGTCCCATTGCTGTGCTGGCAGCATTAGAACTCTGCTACTGTCTTCCCGTGGTCGCTCATTTCAATGTTGGTGTAGTTCTGGGCGTGTCTAAAAAGCAAAAGACAAAGGGAAATGGGAAATCAGTCACTCTGCTCTTTTGCACAACTAACCTGCATTTTCCTTGGCACTTGAAATGAAGACGCTGGATCTGCCTTCAGCAGGCACACAGTTTCCTAAGGTCTTTGTTAATGTTTTGGGGAAAACCAAGAGCAGAACTCCTGCCATCACCTGGCACGTGTACATCAACTTAAACCCACAGTAGTTTCTGAAACAGCTTCCCTAAACCTGACTTACGATATTTCTAAAATGTCTTTAAAAAGTTACTCACAGTTTTCTATTCCCCAGATGAATTTTAAGGACTTTCTTCCTTTCTAACTCTTGTACATCAGATTAGTAAAAATGAATGGTAAAAAATCACTTGGGCTAGTTAAATAACCCATCCCCCATAACATTCATTTTAAACATACAGCCTGTTAAACTGCACGTTGCCTGCTGACATTAGAGAACTTCAAGCAATTATTTACAGTGCTGCCATGTTATAATGTGGAAGCTGTTTCCCAGCAAGGTAATCAATCCTAAGCTGTCTGTTGCTTCCACCCTGCTCTAAAGAAAGGGCTCTTCCCTGCAGCCAAAGCATTAGCTCTCACTGCCTTTGTGTGCCACAAGCCTTCAGCTTTCTGCTCTCCCACCACATGCTCTAAGTAAGATTGATGGTCTTTACACTGTGCCCACTGACATGCCTAGCATTGTGCATGTTTTCATTCATGCTTCCCTTAACCTCCTGCAGAACCAAAAGCAAAGGGGCTTTGCTGCAAAAAAAAATTAAGAGCAACATATTGGAGTGTCTGGATGAAGAATGTAGGTGATCACCTGGGAGAAGGAGCAGGTCACTGCATATCAATTAGAAAGGAAGCACTGGGGAAAGAGAGTGAGAAATGTAAGGCAGATAGGAAGATGGTTTCTCACAATTTGATGAAGTAAAATGCCAGGCCAACCAACAAGAACATGAGCAGGAGAGATCCCATGAGAAACAGGGCAATTTCCCATTCCTGGAGGAAGCGGAGAGTGCAAGGGCAGAGACAGAGTATTGTAGCCAGGATCTCTCGCAGCACAGACTGCCACTAAGAGGTCACAGAATGGGTTGGGTTGGGCTGGATTGGATTGGATGGGACCTTTCAACATGATCTAGTTCAACCCTTTGTCAGTTTAAAGCCATTCCCTCTTGTCCCTTGTTGGTTGTCTTGTCCAAGCTGGCGCTGAACACTTCTAATGATGGGGGCACACACAGCTTCAATGGGTGACAACAGGTTGGGCTGTACCAGCCTCCTGAGGTGGAGAGCCCCTCTTCCACCCCTTGGTTGCATCCTCACAGTGTGCTGGCTCTGGCAAGCTCCAGCCTAGGTCCCAGCTCCTGCTCTGAGCAACTGGGCTTCTGAGCCGTTTGTCCAAGAGCTCCAAAAGCAAGGAGCTAGCTGGTGAAGCCCAGTCTGGTGGCTTGCCCTGCACTGCCCCTCTCACGTGGGGAAGTATCCTAACCCTGGTCTCAGGCCTGCTTTCTGTGTTGGAAGCAGATCACCATGCTCAGCTTTGCTTCCTGCTCACCAGCGCCGTGTGACACGGACAGGGTGGCTTTGGGAGCAATGCACTCAGGGCTGGTTTTCAGCACACTGCCATTCACTGTGAAGGGGTCGGGGCTGGCCAGGAAGCACCAGCACCATGTCTCAATGGAGTGCTGCTGCTCTGGCTGCCGAGCCCATGCCTGGTCCCAGACCTTTGCCAGGAAGCCCACGCACATCACGTTCAGTTCTGCAGAGGAACAACACAGGCGGTCAGAAACTCTCTGGCTGTTTGGGAACTTACTGCTCCCATGACCTCATGCCCTGCTCCAGTAAAACCCTCCTGCTCCCATGCTTTTCTCCCTCAGAAATTATGTTGCCATGCTTTACTGCGGGTAACTTGAGCACATACCCAACCTTTGGTGATAAAAGGGACTTGGAACCCAGTAGAATACTTTGTACTACACTTTGTAACTTCAAGATCTCTACCCAGTAGTGAGAGCTGTCTGAAGTGTTTCAAAGGGTCAAAAAGATGAGGGAGACAAAACACAGCTGTGAATCCTTCACTTCATAGAATCATGGATTGGTTTGGGTGGCAAGGGACCTTAAAGCTCATACAGTTCCAAAGCTCTGACATGGGCAGGGGCACCTTCCACTATACCAGGTTGCTCCAAGCCCCATCCAACCTTGGCCTTTTGTAACTTCCTTACAAAACCAGACAGAAAATAGGAAATGTTTCTTCCCATCCTTCAAACGCTATAGGTCACTTCCAGAAGTGACTTTTTGGTCCAGGTATTTCAAAAATGTATAAGACACTGAAGGAGTGCAAGCCTGCAAGTTTGGCTTAAGAAGGGACCATCCTGATGATGAGCATTGTGGATGAGGGAAGGAGGAGGGCATTGCAAACTGCAGATAGAGCTCAGAGATGCCACAGGAGCACTTCTCCTCTAGGGAGCTCACCAAGACCCTTTCTGAGCTTTCCAGCATCCTCCTTTGGTGCAGGGTCCATGTGGAAGGAGATACGGTTTTCTGGGTACACCTTGGGGCTGTTAATAAGCTCCCAGCTGCATACCCCTTCCAAAACACTTGGCTTCATGCCTGACTTCAGAAGCAGAGATTCTACAGAGCCCATATCCCATCCTCCTTCCGCCCTCCCTGCAGGGTGAGTCTTCACTGGTAGCCTTCTACCACCATGTACAGCAGCTTCTCTCCTTCATCAACCTCACAGGGGAGTGGAGAAGAGACATGCCCCACCACACAGTTGAGTACAGAGTGGTCTCTCATGCTGGGAGAGGAGGGAGAGGTCCACTGCCTGCCCCTCTCTGGAGGCTGGAGTTGGAGGAGGAACCTCTGTTTCATTTTACCCAGGTCTTGACTGCCCCAAGCTGATCCAACCATGGCCTTTGCAGGGGCTGGAAACACCCTTGTACTTTTGCTTCTGGAGTGAGGACTGAGCCATACTGCTTGGATCCAAAAAGATCAAGGTTCCTCTGAGGCACAGAGCTCACTGATGCAGACAGCAGGAGGGACCAGCACTGAGGACTTGCTGCACAAGTTCTCCTGCAGTGGCATCACCACAGTCACCTGCGGGGAGACACAAAAGCTGCAGCCAACGCTGCTCTCCAATGTAGAGTGGCTCACTGCGTCACCTCTTCCTTGTGCATCCTCCAGCTCCCTCCTGAGGCATGAGGAGGACGTGGTGGTTCTGCCTCACACCAGCTGCTCCTCACCTCACCATCTGCACAAGGGTTGTCCTGACCATGGGGTCCCATCACCATGCATTCCCATCCCTGCCTTTTGCTCCCACCCTTATGGCTAGGAACAATTCTCTTTCCCTGCTGTTGGGAGCACTTTGTACAATCACAGAATCCGACTGGTTTGAGCTGGAAGGGTCCTTAAAGCTCACCCAGTCCCAACCCCCTGCCATGGGCAGGCACACTTTCCACCAGACCAGGTTGCTCCAAGCCCCGTCCAATCTGGCCTTGAACACTGCCAGGGAAGGGGCAGCCACAGCTTCTCTGGGCACCCTGTGCCAGCATCTCAGCACCCTCACAGGGAAGAACTTCTGCCTAATGTCTAATCTAAATGTCCCCTCTTTGAGTTTAAAAGCTTCTTTGTGGTCCTCTCCCACTGCAAACGCAGACCTCCTCTGCTTCTAGAGTTTTATTGCCCCAGTTTTGGATCTGAGCAAACCTCTGTACCAGCCTTATCCCAGCAGGCATCAGCAGTGGGGCAGCAAAGCCCTCCCTTACCCAACTTTGTACAGGGAAAACATACATATTCCTTCTAGGGAACTATCTGAAACTAGATATTTTGAAATTAAAAGGAACAGTTCAGATGCATTTTAACATGAATCCATCACACCAGTGGTCAAGGGATATCCTTCACACATTAGCCCTGCAGGAAGCTGATTTCAGGGATGTGCTGTGCTACACATCCAAAAGCCAGCACCAGATAAGCAGGGCTGTGGAGGTGGCTCCACATCTGGCTTAGGGTAAGTTGAAAGTCCAGGATGCTGCTCAGAAGCAGACTCCCTCATTCTGTCATTGGTGGCATGTGAGCTGTCTTGAGGGATCTCCTGGTTCCGAGCCACGCTGCACAAGGCAGGGAGCTCTCACCTGGCTGTCAACAGGCAGGTGGATGGGGCAGGGAGGTGAGGCCTGGTGAGAGCACCAGCAGATGGCATGAGGTAGATGTGGCACACAAGAATGACCCACTTTCCCAAATAAAGGGCATACGGAAAACACAACTGCTGCCCTCCTGTGACTATGGATGGAGAAAGGAAATTTGCTGTCAACCCACCTGGAAACTGCTCTGGAGTTTAGTGCTCAGGTTGTGGCAGTGGCTCAGAGACTCATCCTTAGTGCTGTGAGAACTCTTTTCATAGAGGATGCTCTGCCCTGGCACCAGCACTGTGAGCAGCTGGGTTGCCTTCTCCAGCATCTGGGACGTGTACACCACGGCAACTACCATCCCCCCCGCAGTCACAGTCACGTTCACCTTGTAGAGGGTGGTGCTGCTGTAGTAGAGAGCCACAGTGCCCGCTCCATTCTAGATGGTGTGGGGGGTAGCTTGATCATGGGTGCTGGGCTCATGGTGCTGCTCCCCACCAAGAAGTAACCCAGCTCATCTGTGTGGTGTCCAGACAGGTCCAACACCCAGTAGACCTGGCTATTTTTACCATTGTAGAGGACCAACCAGTA